TGGTCAAAATGGTAAAAATAAAATCTTTAAACATCCATGTTCGCAGTTGCCGTAAACCCGCACTTTTGTGTTAAGTGATAAATAAGTATCCCAAGTGTATTTCGTAAATCCATATGTTGTCTCGATAGGCACGAATATGAATGTATTAAAGCTGCTCAGCGATGCTAACGGATACCTTCTCTACAGTATTACGCATGTTAGCTTTCAGCATACTTTATATATGTTAGCATCAGGCCAGGTTTCTTTTACTTTGTAATTACTTTACATATACTAGTATGAAAACGCAGACGCAGCTTTGAGTAGAAACGTGTCTCTGTTGACATTGCAGTAAAGGTACATTCTGTTGTTTGTAGTCGTCCCACAAGACTTTTAGGATCAAGCGCTTCCTCGCCAAGAAGCAGAAACAGAACAGGCCGATTCCCCAGTGGATCAGAATGAAGACCGGCAACAAGATCAGGTGAGAGTATTTTTGTATTTTGTACTGCAACGTTACTTCATGTAGGATTATCTTGTTGATCACTGAAGGTATGAAGTCTGTGAATTTGGACAGAGTAAGTCACTAATTCAGTATTTACACCTAATTGCCGGTTTGCTCTTTCTCTACACTAAACTATTGCAGTCTTAACAGCTGTATCAGGATTTCCAGTTTTTAGTAAGAATGTAATGTTCAATTATGAAAAAGGTGCTGGTTTAAGTAGTAGTTCAGGTGTGACCCTGGCAGACTGTTGTTCATCAGTCTGTCAGATGAAATCTCATTTTATGCATATGGGGGAAGTCTCAGTTTATGAAACTCTTACAAATTTTCTCTTGATTGCTTTAAGTGGTAATTAGTTATAAAATACATTTCTAATGTATTTAGCCTTAATCAGAATGAAGGCTGAAGGGTGATGTACAAAGGACAACTAAGTGGCATTGTTGAGACTGGGCCAGTGACGTTTTGGGGTTTCAGTTTGTGGCTGTCATCCACCTACAATAACTAGGAATTTTGTTGACCTGTAATGCAGTTGTTGATTTGAGGAAAACCTTAAGTTAAATATAACTCTTTAGGATTTATTGATGCACCTTCCTGTGAAGTACTGGAAAAAAATGTACCAGTAATTCTGGTCTCTGTTGTCCATACTGGTTTTCCACCATACTCTAGTTATGTGGAGATAACTGCAGGAGCTCTGTGTGCAGGATTTATCAGGCAGATTTTTGACTGTAGATTACATTGTATTTTGATGAAGAAGTGCCTGCAGGTCCATTAAGTGTTAGCATGTACACTCATTTTACAGTTTTAAGGTACACTTAACTAAAACTGAAGCAGTCCAATACAACAGCCCTGAGGAAGCTGTAGTTTGTGGTGCTGTTTTAAATCATTGTACTGAGAGGCATTTCTAACATTTAACCATCAATGTTTATTGCAGTGAATGTAAATATTAACTTCCTGGTATGAAGCTTTATAATTCAAAACTGCCAAAATAACTTGTTTACATTTTAATCTTCATGGAGATAAGATTTGTTGCAGGCCTGTTGCACTGGACTGCATAACTTTAGCCAGGCTTAGCAAATACTCATTCAGAAAAAGAAAACTGTTAATGAAGATGCTGTGGGGGTTGGATCTTAGGCTTGAAAGAGTTTGGTGTCTTTTTAATGGCTGTAAAACTGTTCATTGTTGAGCTGTCTTGACTGACTACACTGCAGTTAAGTGCAGAGATGTATGACTGACTCACACAGGAGAGGCAGAAGCTTGATGCCATGTAAAGCAGGTCTGCAATTACAGCACATCATTGCAGTGGAGTGCTGTCATTAACCCTGCTGAGAGTATCTCTCTGCTACACAGCTCTCACTCCTGTTCACTGTGTTGGTGAATGGGAAGCTCTGTAGCACTACATTGCAGCTGGATAGGCTGTTTACTCAAACAACTGATCTACCCTTTGCCTTTATGTAATTGATCTGTTTTGTGTGTGTGTGTGTGTGTGTGTGTGTTCCAGTAGTTGCTGCAGTTATTTAGTGCCTGTGGAAAGTTGTGATACAAGCATCTTCAAAACATTTTTCTTTCACCAAAGAAATACTCAGCATTTGCAATGATGTAATGGTTCAAAATTTATTACATTACATTAGAACACAGTTGATAGAATTTGCATGCCAAACCCCTGACCCTGCCCTTATTTTGACTTTTTCCCCCCTTGTTTGAATATGATGGCTGGTACTATTGGTATCATGTGGTTTTGTACCACCCACCCAGCTTTTACGTTTCCTCTTGAGTAAATAAAACTAAGTACAGAACTGGGAGTAAATGATTTAAAACTGTTTTTCCAGTGGCTTGAAAATCAGTTCAGACATCAGTAGTGAGAGGTAGGAGTCTTCACATTTATCCTCATCAGTGCCACTGAATTGCATGATAGCAAGAATTGCACAACCACCAAACTACAGCGGGGATTGCTGCACAATTGCTACAAGATGCATGGTCGGCTTCATGAACGGGGAAAACATAGCTTGCAAACAGTTCATGGTGCAGAGCTGTTTAAAATTATTAACAACCGTACCTACAGACAAATAAGAGAACTTGGCCAAATTTAGCTGCTTAAGAAAGGGTTATTTTACTGTTGTACAGTATGATTGGTGCCATTTGTGGTAAATCATAGCAGCCATGGTTTTGTCTGTTTTATAATTACCTAGCCTTGATGACATTTAATTTCAGGTACAACTCCAAGAGGAGACACTGGAGGAGGACCAAGCTTGGCCTGTAAACAAGAGGGTCCCTGGATCCCGGCATCCCTCCAACCCAACATCTGCCAGGAGCTCCAGCTGCTGGGCCTGACTGTGGGTGGGGGAGCCATGTCATCTGGAACAGCAGTTGTTTTGTACAGATACTCTGGTTATGCTCATGTTTGACAATAAAAGATCTGTGATCAAACTTGAGATGCAGCTGTGCAGCATTTTATCCCTTCAAAGTGTAGCTGAGCAGTCAGTTTACTGTCTGTTTTCTGAGACAAACTTAGCACGAGGTGGGAAGGGGTACTGCTGACACAGCTCTGCAAAAAGACACACTCACTGTATTCTTAGCCACACAGCAAACATTGCTGAGTTACTGTTGAATGGAAAGGAGTTCTAATTGGGCCAAAGCACTGTTACTCAAGATGCCTAACGTAGTCACAAGACCAACTACGAAGTGCTTAAAGTTTTTAACCGGAGAAAAATGTGGCCACATCAGCAGTTAGCAATATCTGAGCTGTTGTCGCCTGCAGAGCTGGATCAGCAGAGAGAAATCTTTAGAAAATGCAGATTATGGTGTTTTATTAAAGTTTAATGCAAAATAAACAATTGACTCTAGTAAACCAGATGACTTTCTTGTACATGGTGGACAGTATATTTGATGATCTGGTGAAATAGTGCAGTAGTTCCTGTTTTTTGGGGGGCTGACTACATGCTGATCTCTATAGTCGTGGCTTTAGTGTGGACAGCAACAGCAGCTGTGAATAGTTTTCCTTCTATTTCATTTGCAGGATTTTTAGAAATGTAAAGAGGTGAAAGTTAGTATGAAGAAGATCTCATCTCTGATCGTCATTGTTAAAGCCCCCATCTTTTCAAGTTTTTAAATCCTAAAAACCTGGTTTTCTCAGGTGAAACGTTATGAGTACAAAGGGAATATTCAGGCCTGGTTTTAAAAGGTTATTTTAGGACATTACCAGAAATGAGTGACCTGAAAGCAGTTGCTGACAAATGAACCATAGATACAAATTGGTTAAACTGGAGGAAAAAAAAAATCACAAGGGAGATTTTTTCCACTTCTTTTTAGAGCTGAAATGAATCAAACTACAAGAAATAATTGGGTTGAATAAACGTTTTTTTTTTTTTGCAGTGCTCCTGTGGCCCCTGGTCCCAGATTGGAAGCCAGAAAGTTAATACATTTACTGTGAAATAATGCACAGATTTTACAGTTTGTATCAAAACCAACTCATCTTTTGTTTCCAAGAAAAGGAAGCGAGGTCAGCATCTTTCTCAAAGACCCAAATCTCCAGCTGCCTCTCCTCCAGGTCCGGTCAAACGAGTTCACTTCTGTCTGTCCACCAGCGACCTCCTCATGTGCCGTCAAGTTCATAGCGCCAGTGGTGGTGTTGTTGTTTCTGTTGACATTTTGCGCATATCCACAGCTGTGCTCATCATCCCACGTACCGAGCAGCTCCTTCATCTCCAGCGGGGCGTCTCTCTTCAGATACTGCCAGGCTCTTTTCCCGTTGTAGTCCATGGCATCCACGTTGGCACCAAAAGCTCCGACCAGCAGTTTGATGACCATGTACTGGCTGTG